TAACTGAATGCCCCCAGCCGCCATACACCGCCTCGGGGACGTAACTATATTGCCCGCAGACCCGCGTTGGTCCCTATTAAACGGTCATACCCACATGACCGTCCGACTACCGGGGGACACCCACACCACGGATGGGTCCCCCGTCAAGATATGCCACCAATGACAACTGCCTACAAGGACCCAAACCGCCAACCCCAAGCTGTGACAAACCTACCAAAACTGAAAAGCTTCCTCACAGGACGGGTGGGTGGGAAGTTACTCACTTGCTGCTGGACTCCCAACTGGACTTCCGGGCTCCTCCTTCCTGGTTATCTTCCTGACGCCCCTCCTGGACGACCCCTTCCTCCAATCCTGAAAGTGACCTTTCTATAACCTCTTCTTTCTTTACTTTAACCCTTTCCTAACTATTGTTCCCCTTCACAGCCTTGTCATGCAGGCCTTCCTCTCATTCCTTTGCTATCCATAGCTCCAGGCCTTACTATACCTGCCTGGGGCCCCTGAGCACTTGCTTCTGGTACACACCGGACCCCATGCAAATAGCTAAATAAACATTTGAGATGCATATACATTCATTGTATTATCTGACAAACTCTTTGTAATTGTGTTATGTTAATCTTGTGATGCAGGAGGTCCTGTCAGACTGCACAGCCTGGTTGGTGACCTCTCTTTATGGCAGTTAAAGAAGAACTCTAAAAAAACTTACCCATGCATTTGGACTACTCACGCACTCAGGGCCGGATTTCTCACAAGGCCACCGAGGCCCGGCTTCGGGGCAGCAGGGAGCAGAGGGGCGGCAGGGGTGTGGAATCTCCCGACTCCCAGGACATCCCAGATAGCAAGGATAACTTGCCAAAAACTTGTGTCAGGGTTAAATTGTAATTCTTTCTAACTTGCTGCACACATTCCTGGCAACTTGTAGACTTGCAGAACACTCGCAGCACACGTTCTAGTTGAATTTGTAGCAAATTTGCATGGCAGGTCTACAGGACTTTTGCAAAGCACGTTGATCTGGAGACTTGCACAGCGGACTTGCTGTAATTGTGCAACAAAATTGTAATTGTGAAGCTTGGCAAGTCTAGCAACAGTTTAGCAAGCCATTTTCAAACTTGCAGCTCAATTGCTTGCTATATGGGTTGCAGTTCCGGGCGCCGGGTGGGTAGTTGTTTTCTACATTTAGCCCTGCTTTGGGCAAGCAGGGCTAAATTTAGAGCGGGGGGAGCCGCTCCTTCGTTTACAAGTGATCTTGCCGAGATCACTTGTATGCAGCCTGCCGGTCC